ACTGTTGCACTTAAGTATACTGTCTTATTCTACACTGTTATTATATCTTGTATTTCCTTTAACCTCAGTAGGGCCCTGACCTTCCTCGTGACTACCCGACCGAGGTTAGGCTTGGCACTTACTGAGTACCGCTGTGGTGTACTCATGCCCTTCCTGCACATGTTTTTCATGTGCAGATCCAGGTACTGCGACTCACAGTTATCATGCTTGAGGCGAGGCGCTTGTAGAGACTCCGAGGTATATCTGCCGTGTCCGCAGACCGAAGAGTCCCTTTATACTCTTGCTTTAAGTATTAGCCCTTCTGTATTTCCTTTCTCTGTTAGATATTCTGGAGTTAGATACTATTAGACATTCAAACGCTTGTGATCATGAGATTTCGGGTTTTGGGAAATGTTATTAGTTTTGAGAGTTGATATTGTGTATGCCGAGCGGCATTTCAAACACTGTTTTATTTCCCTATTTCGGTTTTAATCTATTTCTTCCGCAAATTTGTTTATTTGTTTTTCGCAATATTAGGCTTACCTAGTCATGGAGACTAGGTGCCGTCACGATGGTTCACGGAGGGCGAACCGGGGTCGTGACATAACTAAAGTTGGGATTGAATCCCCAGCATTTTTGGAGCGCTTACATGGTGATATATGTGGGCACATTCACCCACCATGTGGGCCATTTAAATATTATATGGTTTTAATTGATTCATCTACTAGATGGTCTCATGTGTGCTTATTATCAACTTGCAATCTGGCATTTGCAAGGTTGTTGGCTCAAATAATAAGATTAAGAGCACAATTTTAAGATTATGCAATTAAGACAATTCGTCTTGATAATGCCAGTGAATTTACATCTCAAGCCTTTAATGATTGTTGTATGTCAACTGGGATAACAGTTGAACATCCTGTTGCTCATGTTCATACTCAGAATGGTCTGGCAGAATTATTTAACAAACGCCTCCAATTAATTGCTCAATCATTGCTTATGAGAACAAAACTTCCTATTTCGATATCGGGTCATCCTATTTTGCATGCAGCAGCACTTGTGCGCGTCAGGCCAACGAGTTATCATAAAATCTCCCCATTAGAATTGGCTTATGGTCATGAGCCAAACATTTCTCATCTTAGAATATTTGGATGTGCGGTATATGTTCCAATTACTCCACCACATCGCACAAAGATGGGTCCCCAAAGAAGGTTGGGGATAATGTTGGATATGAATCTCCTTCTGTTATCAAATATCTGGAACCCATGACTGGAGATTTATTTACAGCAAGATTTGCTGATTGTTATTTTGATGAATTAGTTTTTTCAACATTAGGGAGAGAGAATAAGGAGCTGAAAAAAAAAGATAGATTGGAATGCATTATCATTATCTTATTTAGATGCTCGTACAAATCAATCTGAACTGGAAGTTCAAAAGATAATTCATTTGCAAAGTATTGCAATTCAACTTCCAGATGCGTTTACCAACCTACCAAGGATTACTAAATCTCATATTCCAGCTGCAAATGCTCCAATATGAGTTGATGTTCCGGTAGGACAATCTGTTAAAGAATATGAATCTAAGCTACACTTAAAACGTGGTAGACCAATCGGTTCTAAAGATAAAAATCCTCGAAAAAGAATAGGAAAAAATGATCAAGATGGTCATAATATGGAGGTAGTTGCTCAAGAAGAGCCCCCAGACATAACAATTGATAAAACCTCAGAAGAGGTCAAGGTACCTGGAAATAATGAAAATGAAGAGATCTCAATAAATTATGTCTCAACTGAAATAAGATGGAACCGAAATGATATAGTTGTTGATAACATTTTTGCTTATTATATTGCTACTGAAATAATGCAACAAGATGAGGATCTTGAACCGAAATCTATCGATGAATATAGATAGAGAAATGATTGGACAAAATGAAAAGATGCTATCCAAGTAGAATTGACTTCACTTAAAAGCGTGAAGTTTTTGGACCTATAGCCCAAACACATGAAGGTGTAAAGCCAGTAGAGTTCAAATGGATTTTTATGTGAAAAAGAAATGAGAAAAATGAAGTTGTAAGATATAAAACACAACTTGTAGCACAAGGATTTTCGCAACGGCCTGGCATCGATTATATGGAGACATATTCTCCTGAGGTGGATGCAATCACATTCAAGTATCTTATCAGTCTAGCAATTCATAAAAAACTTGGTATGCTTCTTATGGATGTTGTCACGTCCTATTTATATGGCTCACTAGAAAACAAATTTTTCATGAAAATCCCTGAAGGATTCAAAGTACCTGAAACATACAAAAATTCTCGGGAAACTTATTTGATAAAGCTTCAGAAATTCTTATATGGATTGAAGCAACCAGGGCGCATGTGGTATAATCGCCTCAGTGAATACTTATTGAAAGAAGGGTACAAGAACGACCCATTTTGTCCTTGTGTCTTTATAAAAAGATCTGGATCTGAACTTGTCATAATAGTTGTGTATGTTGATGACTTGAATATCATTGGAGCTCCGGAAGAGCTTCCAAAGGCAGTAGAATGCTTGAATAAAGAATTTAAAGTGAAAGATCTTGGAAAGAAAAAATTTTGTCTTGGCTTACAAATTGAGCATTTAAAAAATGAAATATTTGTCCATCAATCAACGTACACCGAAAATATTTTGAAGCGCTTTTATATGGATAAAGCACATCCATTGAGTACCCCGATGGTTGTGAGATCGCTTGATATAAATAAAGATCCATTTCGTCCTCATAAAAATAATGAAGAACTTCTAGGTACTGAAATACCATATCTTAGAGCAATTGGGGTATTAATGTATCTTGCTAATAATTCTAGACCAAATATAGCTTTTTCTGTAAGCTTGTTAGCAAGATTTAGTTCTTTCCCATCACAAAGACACTGGAATGGTATTGAGCATCTATTCAGATATCTGCAAGGTATCATTGAAATGGGATTATTTTATTCAAATGAATCTAGGTCACAACTGATTGGTTATGCAGATGCAGGATATTTGTTTGACCCATATAAAGGTCGATCTCAAACAGGCTATTTATTTACATGTGGAGGTACTGCCATATCATGGCGTTCAACAAAATAAACTATGGTTGCTACTTCTTCAAATCATGCAGAGATAATGGCCATTCATGAAGCGAGTCGAGAATGCGTTTTGTTGAGATCAATAACTTAACATATACAGGAACTATGTGGTCTTTCATGGTGCAAGGATATCCCAATAATATTATATGAAGACAATGTTGCATGTATAGCTCAACTAAAAGGGAGATATATTAAAGGAGACATAACAAAGAATATTTTACCAAAATTCTTTTTCATGCATGATCTTCAAAAGAATGGTGAATTAGATGTTCAACAAATTCGTTCAAGTGATAATATGGCAGATTTGTTTGCTAAGGCATTGCCGACATCAACATTTGAGAAGTTAAGATACAAGATTGGAATGCGCTGTCTCCGAGATATCAAATAAGGTTTTTATCAGGGGAAGAAATACGCGTTGTACTCTTTTTCCCTTAACCAAGATTTTGTCCCATTTGGGTTTTCCTGGTATGATTTTTAATGAGGCAACTCTTAATACGTATTACAAGATATGTGTACTCTTTTTCCTTCACTAAGATTTTTCCCTCTGCGTTTTTCTTAGTAAGGTTTTAATGAGGCACATTTTGTGTTAGTGTACATCCAAGGGGGAGTGTTATAAACTCTTCAAATGGATCCATCCACTTGCAACGATGTATGTCTCCCATAACAGGTTTTGGATTGGTTATGTATCCATAACAGGTTTTAGGTTGGTTATGTATTCATAACAAGTTTTGGATTGATTTTGTAACGGTAAAATATTTCTATAAATACTGAAACGAAGAAATAAGTCCTCTCTTCTAATGTTATCATTCTCTTCTAATATTAGTCCTAGTTAATTACGTAGTTTTTGCCATATTATTTTCATTCATAACAAAAGAAGAGTTCTAACTATGAGTAGATTAGAGTAAATTCCTTGGATCACCCAACTTATGGGAACATCCTATCAAAGTCATTTTTGTTTCTTTTAGTACAACAAAGTCGCCCAACTATTGCGTTTTGACTCAAAAAATAAATATTGTACATTTGACATGACATGTCATATTAAAATTATATTTTCTAATAATAAAACTCATTTAACCATGACCCTCATACTAATCTGACCCCCGTAAGGTTCATATAACCTCTTTATTTAAGGATGGTTAAAAAGTTAAAACTAATAAAAGTGACAAAATTATCTAGTTAGGTTTTAAAATTTATCAATTTATTAAACTTCAAAAACTTTTGAAATTTTACTTAACAAAAATCAATTCAATCTATAGTAAAATACTCGGACTCTACTTATTGATTAATTTGAACAACTTAACAAGCGTTAATATATTTATTATCATAAACTAATTATTTCAAACAATAGCAATAGAATAAAATAGAATTATAAACTAACGTAAATTAATAATTTTAGTAATATAAGAATTGTGAAACTATACAACAACAACAACAACAACAACAACAACAACAACAACGACGACGACAAATTTAGTGTAATCCCATAAGTGGGGTCTGGGGAGGGTAGTGTGTACGCAGACCTTACCCCTACTTTGTAAAGATAGAGAGACTGTTTCTGATAGATCCTCGGCTCAAGTAACAGTGAAAATAAAGCAACAAAAAATTGTAACAATAATGTAATAGGGTAACGAAAGCGAATGACACAACACGTAATAATAGAGAACCAGGAATAATAAAATACAAGAATAGTACTAGTACTACTGGTACGCCTAGGAGAAACACACGGCTACCTGTCAGCCTTCAACCCTAATCCTTGACCTCCACACCTTCCAATCGTGGGTTATGTCCTCGGTAAGCTAAAACAATGATATATCTTGCCTAATGACATCTCTCCATTACTTCTTTGGCCTACCCCTAACCTTCCTCAAACCCGCCATAGTCAATATCTTACACCTCCTGACCGGGATATCTATGTCTCTCCTCTTCACATGCCGAACCATCTCAGCCTCGATTTTTTCAACTCGTCCTCCACAAAGGCCACTCCCACCTTGTCCCTTATAACTTCATTCCTAATCTTGTCTTTTCTGGTATGCACACATATCCATTTCAACATCCTCATTTTAGCTGCTTTTATCTTTTGGACATAGGACTTTTTGACGGGCCAATACTCAGCCCAATACAATATAGTTGGTCTAACCACCACTCTGTAGAACTTGCCCTTAAATCTTGGTGGCATATTCTTATCACACAAGATCCCAAAAGCGAATCTCCATTTCATCCATCCCGCTCCAATATGATGAGTAATATCCTCGTCAATCTCCATATTGCCTTGGATTATAGACTCAAGATATTTGAAACTATCTCTTTTGGGGATGACTTAAGTATCAATCTTCACTTCCACTTCTGCTTCAAGCATCCGATCAACTGAACTTGCACTCCAAGTACTCGGTTTTTGACCTACTCAACTTGAAACCTTTAAACTTCAATGCATGTCTCCAATCTTACAACCTAGCGTTAACTTCTCCTCACGTCTCTTAAATCAATACTATGTTATCGGCAAATAGCATATACTATGGCACCTCCTCTTGTATGTGTCGTGTCAACACATCTAATGCCAGAGAAAAAAAATGGTCTAAGAGTCGATTCCTAATGTAATCCCAACTCCACTAGAAAATATTTCAAGTTTCCTCCCCCAGTCCTCACCCAAGTCTTAGCTCTCTCATACATGTTCTTCATCACCCTAATGTACGCTACCGGAACACCGCTAACCTCAAAATATCTTCATAGAACCTTCCTCGGGACTTTGTCATAAGGTTTCTCTAGGTTACCATATGCAAGTCATTGTTTCTCTTCCTATATTGCTCCAACAATCTCCTTACAAGGTGAATGGCTTGTTCCGGTATAAACTCGAACTGGTTCTCGGAAATAGACACACTTCTCTAACAATCTCCTTACAAGGTGAATGGCTCGTTCCGGTATAAATTTGAACTGGTTCTTGGAAATAGACAAACTTCTTCTTATCCTCATCTCTACCACCCTCTCTCAAATTTTCATAGCATAGCTCAGCAGCTTGATACCCCTATAGTTTTTGTAATTCTAGATATCACCTTTGTTTTTGTATAACAAGATCATCTAACTCCACCGTCAATCTGCGGGCATCTTCTTCGTCCTCAAAATGACATTAAACAAATTAGTAAGCCACTCCAAGCCTGTACGACCCACATCCTTCCAGAATTCTACCGGGATCTTGTCACTCCCAGTCACTTTATCCTTGCTCATCTTTCGCATTGTCCCCTCAACATCCCAATCTTAATATGCCTACAAAATACAAAATCGCTCTAACTCTCTGAGTTCTCCAACTCACCAAGCATGATATTCTTGTCCCCTTCCTCGTTCAAGAGTTTACGGAAGTACGTCTTCCAATTATGTCTGATACACGCCTCTTCCACCAATACCTCACCATCCTCATCTTTGATGCATCTCACTCCAGGTTCCAAGGCTTCCTCTCCCTAATCTTAGCTAACATGTACAACTTTCTGTCACCTCCTTTGCCCCCAAGGTCCTCATACGATCGTTCAAATATTGTAGTCTTAGCTGCCGTGACCACTAATTTTGCCTCTTTCCTTGCCTGCTTATAACACTCCATATTCGTCCTCTTCTTTTTCTCGTTTGAGCTCCCAACTAGCTTTAGATATGAGGTTTTATTGGCTTTTACTTTTTCTTGGACCTCCAAGTTCTACCACTAGTCTCCTTTGTGACCTCCCGAGTATCCTTTTGTGACCCCTAACACCTCTCTAGCAACTTCCCTGATGCAGTTTATTGTCGTGGTCCACATACTACGCGCGTCCCCACTACTCCTCCAGGCCCCTAAAGCCAACAACTTCTCCCCCCAACTCTTGAGCTTTTTCCTTAGTCAAGGCTCCTTACGTGATCTTAGGTTGGCCGTGCACCGCTCTCTTCTTCATTTTTCTATTGACCTCCAAGTCGATTACTAATAGCCTATGTTGCATCGAAATACACTCACTCCGGATAACCTTGAAATTAGTACAAAGGCCCCTATCACCTCTCTTAAGGAGAAGGTAATCAATCTGTGTCTTGGCTATCATTGTAACGACCCGACCGATCGTTTTGAGCTCTAGCGCGTCCTTCAGCAATTTGAGGCCATGTGCAACTTCACTTCAGGTATTATGACTTGTACGCGTGGTTGGAATTGAATTCCGTGAAATTCGGAGTTGATTTGGAAAGAGAATTCCCATTTTGAAAGCTTTAAGTTGGAAGAGTTCACTAAGATTGGATTTTTGAGTAAACAACCTCGGAATCGGGATTCGAAGGTTCCAACAGGTTCGTATGATGATTTCAGACTTGGGCGAATGTCCGAATCAGGTTTTGGAAGACCCGGGAATGTTTCGGCACCTATTGTGGAAGGTGGCATTTTTGAAATAATTTTATAAGTTTGGGTTGAAGTGCATTTCAGTGTTATCGATGTCCGTTCGGGATTCTGAGTCTGGGAATAGCTCCGTATGGTGATTCTGGTATTGGGAGCGCGATCGGAAGTGAATTTGGAGGTCCGCGGGTCATTTTGGGAGTCATTTGGCTAAAGATAGAAATTTGAAGGTTTTGAGGAGTTTGACCGGAAGTGGACTTTTTGATATCGGGGTCGGATTCCGATTCCGGAAGTTGGAGTAGGTCTGTAATGTCGAATATGACTTGTGTACAAAATTTGAGGTCAATCGGATGTGATTTGATAGGTTTCGGCATCGAATATAGAAGTTTGAAATTCTAAAGTTCATTAAGCTTGGATTGGAGTGCGATTCATGGTTTTAGCGTTGTTTGATGTGATTTGAGGCCTCGCGCAGGTCCGTGTTATGTTATGGGACTTGTTGGTATGTTTGGACGGGGCCCCGGGGGCCTCGGATATGTTTCAGGGTGGTTTCGGATCATTTCGAGCTGTTTTACAATGGCTGGTGCTGGTGTCTGGTGTTGTTCTTCGCGTCTGCGAGAGTCCTCTCGCGTTCGCGAAGAATGATTTGGCTTCTGGGATTTTGTTCTTCACGTTCGCGAAGAAGAAGAATTTCTGTTGCGTAGGTCTTACTTCGGAGGCTCATATCTCACAATCTACAAGAAATTTGGAGATGATCAATAAATAAAAGTTATAACTCTTTGTGTCTAGTTTTCAGAAAGATAAATTATTTAGCATTTGGATTTGTGTACAAATAGTTATGGCTATTATGCTAGAGGCTGTCTGAGAAGAGTTTGAAAGATGGTTTTTGAGAATTTTCTTCTTCGCGAACGCGAAGAAGAGTCGTCTGGGCAGTGTATAAGTGTAAAGAAATGGGTTTGGCTCATTTCATCTCATTTCCTCCATGGGATCCGACCTAGGAGCGATTTTGGAGCTCCATTTTCATCATCCATGTCAAGGTATATGATTCCCACCTATTGCAAGTTAATTACTTGGAATATATCTAGATTTTAACATGGAAAATCATGGGAAATTAGTGAAAATTGGGGTTTTGAAGAAAAACCTAGAAATTTAGTATTCTTGGATTTTGACCACGATTTGGACATGAAATTGAGAGTAAATTATATATTTGAGTTCGTGAGGTTGTGCGTAAACTTTATCTTCCAAAATTTCAAAATCCGGGAATGTGGGCCCGAGGGCGATTTTGTTAACTTTTCTATCGGGGTTAGGAATTGTTATAAATTGGATTATTATGAGTAATTGAACATAGATTAATGAATTTGCATATTTATTGGCTAGTTGTGGAGCATTGTGCATCGATTTGAGTCTTCGAAAGGGCGTGGAATGCCGGTTATGGAATTTCGGAGCGAGGTGAGTCTCCTTTCTAACCTTGTAAGAGGGAATTGTCCCCATAGGTGAGTTAACTGGTTATGTGCTCCTATTTGTGGGGTCTACGTACGCACGAGGTGACGAGAGTCCATGCGTAGCTACTATTATGCTTAAGTCCGGGTAGTTTAGGGCCCAAAAGCATGCTTTACTTGTAATATTTTCAACCTTGTCGACAAATTTAAAAATGCTTAAAACATATCGAACGTGTAAATGAATTTCTAAAAGGCTAGATATTATTTCTTGACTTTTAAAAGAGAAACTTGCCTTTTCCTGAATAATTGCTCCTTGATGAATTCTTGATTTGACTGTTTGAATGTGTTTATCAATTATGGAATGGGCCGAACGCCTCGGTAGATTGAATAGATACATCTATGGCTCGCGTCATTCGACCCTCTGGCAGTGCACAGTTTAAATATTATTGGATCGAGTCGTACGACCTTGGTATGATTTGCGCATGCTTGTATTTGCTTGACTTGCTTTGTAAATGATGATATTACCTCCCTGGCTTGAGATAAATGCATAAATGATGAAAAAAAATGAATTTGGAAGTTTCCTATTAATAAAAGAATTGATTACTTGCTTCATGCCATTGAGTTACCACCATTTTATAAAAATCCTTGATTTGCTATATTATTGGTATATTGTTATTGGTAGTAAGTGTCGAAGTCGACCTCTCGTCTCTATTATTATTGTTTTTGTACTCATGCTACACTTGTTGTGTATTTTTATTGCACAGGAACATGTACGTTTAGTGTCCTAGTTTGGCGCGGCGGCACGGTTGATACGGGGACTTAGGTGAGTTGCACTTCTCGAGACGATCTGCAGCCAGCAGAGTCTCCTTCAGAGTATTGTGTTATATTTTCTTTCTACTGTCCAACTTGTTTTTCGAACAGTTATTGTATTACATTATTTCCTAGAAATTGCTCATGCACTTGTGACACCGGGTTCTGGGATGTCTATGGGATTATTCAGTATTTTAAGATTGTTAAAGGTATCATTATCTATACAGTGAAATTAATTATTTATTGTTTAATGTTTAAAAGAAATGATTTCAAAAATATTAAAACAAGAAATTACAAGTTATTTGGTGTTGGCTTGCTTGACAGCGATGTCCGGCACCATCACGACCCTTAGTGGATTTTGGGTCGTGACAATCATACTCCGGAAAGTGACCAAGTATTCCTCCCTCTTCTGAAAATACGTATTATCTATCACCAAGTCAAAAGCTTTAGCAAAATTCAACGACGAGGTACCTTCCTCGTTCCTATCTCCAAAACCGAACACCCCATGTATCTCGCTATAATCTAAGGTTGTATTGTGGTTCGGGCCCAGCCCATAACCGGCCCGGGACCGCGAGCCCACATGGGCTTTGGGCTAAACGGGTTGTTCCATATGGTCCGGTCCCAAGCGGTCCTAGGATCCCACTGTGGGCTGGTCCAACATGGAGAGACCGCGAGCCCCGTTTAGCCCAGGAC